ATGGATGTCAAGTATCTTGTCTGAGCAGTGGGAAAGTGGCTAAGACACTTGGGGTCTCAAAACAACACAATTTGTCCTCTTCAACTTCTGGGCACCAGAAGTTTGAAAGTAGTTTCAGTGGGCTACACACCCTCTGGAGACTCAAGGAAGAAACCATTTCCTTGCCTTCTTTGGCTTCTAGCTGCATTCTTGCACCACAAAGCGTCTTCCTCTATATTCAAAGCCAGCAATCCAGCATTTTGCCTCAGTTGTCATGTTGCTACCTTCTCATCTATCACCAAATTTCCCTCTTCCTTGTCATGGTTTGGAGTCTTTGAAAGGTGAACAATATAGTACAAATCATGTTTTATGATAGTATTTTATAATGAATCATCCAAGAATCATATAGTACAAGTGAAGGAAATCTATCCACACTAAATACTGAAGAATCCAGCTGAGAGCATAGGGCTCATAACAATGCCTCCCACCAGTCCAACTGGAGGCCTAAAGCCTCCAACAAAGTCTCATGCAGGCCCACTTCATGGGTATGTGCTGGAAAGGCCCAAGGGTCAGTGGTGGAAGCTAGGAAGTCCATGCCAGTGGGATGAAGGATCTGTGCTAGCAAACAGGGATCTGAACTGCAGCTAGGAAGCAACGCTCAAGGTAAGCACCAGAGCTCCCCCAAGAGTATCACAGCCATTCTCAGCAACAATGAGGTTTCCAGAGAGCTCCTCCAGAGATGAGGAAAACTGAGTTCCCATCAGGAAAGCCAATGCAACAAGCTTCATGAGGCTGAGCAGTGCATCATCTTCCCCTCCAGAGCCAGGAATCGATGCTCAAGATGAGGACTCAAGCTTCTCCAAAGTTCATCAGGAAAGCCAGCATGACAAGGTCCTCCAGGAGAACAGCCCAAGAGAACTAGCAGCTTCCAACAGCCCCAACAGTTTCTCCAAGTAGCATCCCAAATGGCATTTTAGCAGCTTCTCCTGTTCTGCCTTTATACTGCTGGCAACAACCTTCAGGTGAGCCTCCTGCACCCAGCACCATGGTAATTTGATTCAGCTGGATTTAAGAAGCTGTCCACCAGTTAGATATCCACCACATTCCCCTATAAAGACACATGTCTACACATATAAGGCATGCTCCACTAATCTCTTCAGCTTGAGATACTTAATTCAATTCTATCTGCTCAATGCCTTTTGCCACATGAAGTAATGTTTACATGTTCTGGGGATTAGGATGTTAACATCTTGAAAGACATTATTCAGCCTACTACAGTGATCTATATTTTGTCCTAGGTATGGGGATCACCCATTTTCTCATCCAACCTATCCCCCTTAGAATATAGTTGTACATCTTTCTTCAAATGTATGATTGAACTTTCTAGGCTACCCCAACACATACTCTCAGTGCTTTCTGTAGGTCTTGATAATGTTCTGAAGGGAGGACATCTGATGGAACGTTCCATGATGATGGGTAAGTCTACATTTGCACTGTCCAACATGGTTGGACAACATGGTAGCCACTGGTGAAGATGATTAAGATGGTGCTGGGAGTGTTAGCTTGAAGTTTCCTCACATGCTGCTGAAGGGTTTTTTTGCTGTGGCTCCAACATGGTAGCCACTACCACCTCTAACTATCAAGCATTTAAATGTAACTAGTATTACTGAGTAGGGGAATTTTATTTTTTTATTATTTTTAATGTATCAGTTATGTAATGAGGTTCCACTAATTTATGAGGATTAATTCCATTTGTCAGGGCAAAAACGGATCACAGGTAGCTCCAGAGTTGAGGAACAGCTTTGATTTTTTTTCTAAAATCTGAGTCCACTGCTTTCTGATCCACCTTGTGCTGCTCTGAAATCTGGTATCTCTCTTTCTTGGGGTCAAAGATCTCGCCTTCCTGGTGTCTGCTCCTTCTTCTTGAAGTAAGCATCAGTGAGGTGTTTGGGGATTTTTACTTTGCTGATACCAATTTTTGTAGAGGTGACAATGACAAGTTTCTGGTGTGTTCTTCATAGAGGAACATGATTAAGGATAGGAGGCCCAGTCATAAATAGCAAGCCACTGGCCAATTGCTTCAGGAAGACCACTCTCTTGCCTCTGTGATGCCCCGTGCGGATGATCAAAATGGTATCCGGAGTGATGTTAGCTCGAAGTTTCCTCACACGCTGACTGAAGGTTTTTTTGTTTTTTTGCCATGGCTCAACAGCTTTTGGGGCACATCTTCAGTAGGGTAGTATCTAGGCATTTTTCACAGCTTAACTACCCAGGTACTTCCATTCTTGTTTCCACCGACTGGTTTTGTGATCGTAGCAAGAACTTTCTCCTTCTTTTTCTTCTCAACCTTTGATTTAGCAACTGTGTACTTCCTCTTGTATAAGGCCTTTCTGCAATGCATAGCAGATTGGGCATATCTACCAATTCCTCTAACCAGGATAGGATTTTGGCTGTAGTGGGGCTGCCCCTTTGGACTTTTTTTGCCTTCACCTTCCTCTTTTTACCAGTACCACTGTCAGAAGCCTTCTTGGCTTGAGGTTTCTTCTCTTTAGTGTCTGACTTCTCAGTTTTTTCACCCACCATCTTGCAAGATGGCAAAGAGAACTAAGTTTCTGACTTCTGGCCGAGTAGAGGTATTTTATTTTATTTTATTTATTTGTTTATTTATTTTGTGGTATGGGGGACTGAACTCAGGACCCTGTGCTTGCCAGGAAGGTGCTTATTTTACTGAGCTATCTCCCCAGCCTGGCTTTTTTTTGGAATTTTAAATTTGAAATAATCATAATGTTATTAGACACTCAGTCTGGTAGCTAATGTATCAGCATCTCAGATCTAGACAAATGAAAAAGAGGCTGAGATCAAGCAGGTTCTTTGCTGTTGGCTTCTCCTCACACCTGTTTTGAATCAGCTGTGTCCCTCACATCCTCCTTTCTGTGGCTGAAGAATCTAAAGGACCCTAGGGGCCTCTGGAGTAATGATGTGGCAGAGGGCAGGTTAAGGAAGGGAACGGTGTCTGTTGGCCCAGAGAAGTAGCAGACCCCAGTTCTGCTTTTGCATAAAACTTAAGGACACTCAAATAATTTTCAAGGTAGTCTCCTCCTTACTCATCTTACTCAATGGACTTTCTGGGAACCAGAAAATTGTGGTTGGGGACAGGACCACAGAAGTGAGTTGATAGGGAAGGTGCCCTGGAAAGGATACTAGCTGGAGCTCCGCTTTGCCACACAGGTGATAAAAGGCACTTGGCATGTTATTTCCAAGTCTTTGAAACTCAGTCTCCACAAAATGGGAGGATTGGACTGGGTAACCTGAGGGTTCCCCCTGGATGTAACATACTCTGGTTCTATTTTTCCAGAATTGAAGCTATATTGTACATATTATTCCACTGAGAGCTGCATTCTTTCTGACCCACATAATATTACATCTTGATTGCAAAGACCAAGTAGGCTTTAGGTTAGTCCTGCCACACTTCTGGATCAAACCAAATGCCCATGTTCCTGTCTGTATGATGACATTTCACATCCGCTTTGAGCTTCAGAGTGTTGACCCATAAATGAATCTGATCTTCAATCGCCCTGAGAGGGTAGATGCTGAGACTCAGAGAGGGAGGGTAAGACACTTACAGGGACTCTGCTTCTGGGTGCTCTGCACATCACCTCAATGCAGCCCTATCCACATGTCACAGGTAGGAAAACTGAAGTTGCATAAGGCAAGATGATTTTCTTAATGCTGCTCTGATAAAAAGATGTAGAGTCACTTTTCTGACACTGAACCACTTCCTCTTTCTCTTCTAATGTGCTGTCACCCCAGTTAACAGTTTTCCTGTGAAATGTTAGAGATAAACCTTAGGGCTTGAGTCATCATTTCATAGATAGGGCTATGTTCTGTGCTTCTATTTCTTTACCTGTACATTAAGGACAAAATCTCCTACTTCACAAGCGCATTAAAATTCTTATTGAAAGTACTAAGTGAGGTCATGTTTTAAGACTAAGCTCCTAGAGCATAAATTACTCATTCTTATTGTTTTTGTGTGGGGAACAGTGTCACCAGCAGGGAGAGCAGGAGGGGTGCCCCTGCCTGCTTTAAGGCAAGGGTGGGGACACCCCCGAACTGCTCCCTGTAGCTGGGAACATGTCCCTTCCATGACCTCCAAGAATATGCCATGAATGGGAGATCTGCCAAGAAGAACTCGGCCTTGATTTCTTCCCGAGTTCTCTGTATAAACAAGAACACCTGGTATTTGTAGCAAGAAAAATTCTGAGTTCAAATTATACTAGCTTCACCTCATGTAACCTCATATGCGACTGTATAAAAACTCTTTGAGAATAAAGAACTTCACCTTTTGCCTGAAGAGCGTCTGGTCCTCTCCCTTCAGCCACCCTCCCTACTCCCATTGTCGAGTGGGACTCGACATTTTTGGGAACTGTAATTTGTCTCTGCTAATAGAACCAGTCAATTTCCTTCCAGCCAAATAAAATTAAAATCCAAGACAATGTGTTTCCATTTAAAAAAGGTTTTATTATGAACATGCATCGAATTGAATGCATCATCCATGTGTCCACAATAGCAGAGAAACAGTGATGATGGACCATCCCCATAGGAGACATGTGTCCTTTTGTCAAACATAAATAATTAAAATAACACTGAACCCAGTAGCAAAGCACATACTAAAGATAAAGTCATGACAAGGGGCAGGAACTACTGAGACACACTGTGAGCATGGATAATAAAGTACATCTCATTGAGAACTATCCGGCTCAGTTGATCTTCTTTGACGTCATCATGCCTCATTAAGCTCTAGGTATTCCACGTACTCCTGCACCCAGGGCTCACTGGAGTTGGCACAGACTTGCCTGCCTCTTTTGGTTTGGAATCTGTAGAACAAGAAGGAGACAGATTAGAATCTTTTTTTTTTTTATTTTTCTAATAGAGCCTTTGAAATTATCTGCTATTATTCCTTCCTAGTCCTGGACATCTGCCTTTGCTTGGCCCCAGCTCAAGTTGGATAGCTCTAGTGAATGGGCCCCTTCCTGGAGGCACTGAAGCCAGGCTCCCTTGACTTCCTGCCCTGGATTGAGCTATGACCCTAAAGTGCTCCTAGATTAGGAACCAATGAGTCTTACAATCAATATAAATTTATCTCCTCATTCCCTACCACTGCTTACAGTGATTATTTTAAATTTTCTAACATGGTTTGAAAAATGCACCCACATTTCATGTAATCATTTTTACACTTCCCACTTTGCTGCCCTGTGGTTCGAGTCTTCTCCAGGAACCCTCTATTCTTCTGTCACCAGTTTGTCCTGTTTCATGACTCAAATAGTGACCTTATAATCTGTTTCTTTATGGCTCTTGGCAGGGATTTAGCTTGAGAACCACCTCTTTTATTGATCACCCACTGTTCCCAACTGGCCCCTTTTCAATCCTGCCTTCACCCTTGCCTACCAGAGCACCCCCAGGATAGATACTCACACCACAGCTGGCTGGGGGCAGAGGCTGCTGGTCTCATAGTAATCAGTCACAAAGTTGCGAGGCAGCTTCCGCTGGGTGAAAGAGAAGCAGCAGGCTGTGGGAGGGTCTGAGCCCACTGGAAGGGAAAGTCAGGGTGAAATCAAAACTCTGCATGGGACCTGTTCATATTGGCTTCTAGCTATGGATTTTCACGGAACACTCCTGTGACACCGCAATAACCCCTAATATAGTTCCTTGTAATTCATACCCACTTATGTAGATAAATGATCCTCAGAGAAGACAAGAGAGAATTCTACAAGATTGCAACTGGATTGAGACTCAGAACATGTCTCATTGTCTTTGTGTTATTGATGGGAAACTAAGGTTGATTCAGTCATGAAAGGTTTAACCAAGCTTAAACCAGTAATCAGACATAGAGTCAATTCAATAGTTTGACTTCTAATCCATCCTTGTCCTCTCCTGGCTGTCCTTCCTAGGAATATGAAAGTTTGGGTATTACTAAATGTCTCCTAGACTCTGCACTGAACAGTGAACTCCTTAGAAATCTTCTCAGCCTCCATTTGTTCCCTCCCCCGATCCTGTGTGAGTCCAGCCCCAGGGAAAGAGCAGACCCTGACTCCCTCTTAGCTCACAAAATAATAGGAAATGTTGGACTTACTTGGTGCAGAGAGCACTGGAGAGCAGAAGGCAGCCACGGTCACAAGGAGAGCGAGGATGGTCACGCAGAATTTCATGGTGAAGGTAGAGATAAGACTGCAGAGAAAAGCTTGGGTGAGCTGAGACTGAAGATCTCAGAAAGTTGAGGAGCTTGAGAAGAGCTTCAGGTCCTGTGTCTTGTGCTGATCTGAGTTTGGAACCCCTCTTTATAGGGACTATGAAGCTGGGGACAGTGGTGGAGGCATAGGGAGATAAGTGGGATTTCCACAGTAGCAGTGAAGTCACAGTACAAATAAGGAAACTTCAGCTGGCTGAAAGTGAAGAGTTCCATGCTACTTCTCTTTCTCAGGACGATGTCATCATGGAAGAAAGAGGAGGGAGGGAGTTGGAGGGCAGAAGTGGGCTGTGCCTTAGAGGAAGTGGTAGACCAATGACAGTGACTGAGGTAAGCACCTGAGGTCTAAGAGGCAATGTGAGTTCACACCTGCTAGCAAGGCCCGGTGGAAAATGACCAAACTATTCTTGATGATTGCCACAAACAGAACCTGGTGGCTTCCTGTTAGTCTTTCAGGTTAGCTGTATTCTCTAGAACAAACATAGAAGGTGACCATAGGGGGGAACCATTGACTACTATGTGCCCTTCTGTACACAAGGACCATCTGTCAGGACTGCGTTCAGGAGAGAAGTTTGTTTTGCCTCTCCCAGAACAGGGTAGGAATGGAAAAGAAATAAAGACTTCAGGGTATTTTCCTGGGCTGATAAGAAAATAGGAGAAAGAAATCAGTAAGAATCAAGTCAAGAAAACATGCTTTTCTAGTATACAAGTAAGATGACTAGCTAGAGATGAATGTATCTATATTACAGAGATAATATGGGTGTTTCCTTACCACTCTATACAGAATGCCTCATGTCCTTGTAATCCCTGGCTGATTTCACAGCTGCTGGTGGCCGATTGAGGAAGGAAATGATACCAAAACCTGGGCCACATTAGTGTATGGAATAGTGCAAATGAGGGAAATTTAAATGATTGGACTTTTATCTCCCTCGCCTTTAGGGCAGTTTCTTTGATCTTCCTATTCATCACAAACCTCGTAGTTGAACCTTTTCTGCTCTGAGAAGGAAAATAGAAGAGCACAAAGAGGGATTCAGTCCTCCTAGATGCTTTCAATTTATGGTACAGGAGGGGTCAGAGCAGGATCCTGGGGCATTTCCAGGTCAGGTTGCTAAGGTACAAGTTCATCCTACATCATAACACACACAGAGACTTCATTGGCTTCTTTCCTCTATTCTTTCTGTTCTCACCCTTTTCTCAGTATGGGATTTGTTTCAAATATTCTGATCTTCCCCAAGACCCCTATTCCAACTTTAGAGTTATGTCATGCCTGGTAGCACATATGCTGACCTTTCACACGGTCTCTTATAAAGTTTCATCTGCATGCCTCACAGCAATGGCTGTAAGCAGAGGAGGATGTATGTGTCTTACATCCCCACTCCACACAGACCTGGTTATCCATGACATTCCAACTCAATCCAGCTTTCTAGTCATCTGTTACTTGTCAATGCAGACACAGATGCATGAAGCCCTCCTTGTAGGAGACCATACTCTAAGAATGTGTTGAGAGTGACAGCAATACCTGTCTCATGAGGTGAAATAAACTAAGTTGCATGCCAGTGGTAGAAACATCAACAGGGAACTTGAGGTTGAAGAAGGTTATCCCTCAGCTGAAGATCAGTAGTTCTGAGTTAAGTCTAAATTCCCTCCATGCTAAGGAGGAGACTCCATCACAATGAGCCACCAGTGCAGATTTCTAATATCCTGAGGGATGGTGAAGACATCTGCCTGGGCTATCAAGGGAATGACAGATGCATGGGTGATTCCTCTGAACAGTGAGTGTCTCATTCTGAAGAGAGGCTCCTCAGAGAAGAATAGGGAAGAATTCTAGATGAGACCTGATTGTGCCTCTTAGCTCACAAAATAGTTGCTGCCTTCATGTACTATGTGGAGAAAACAAGGCATGGACTGACACAAGGTCTTGCTTAAACAGTAACTAGAGGCAGAGCTTCCTTTTCATTTAATTTTTGTGTCTTAGTGGTAATACTGTGGATGAGCCCAGGGCCTTCACTCTCTGGACTACATCCCTATCCCTTCTAAATTTTTTTTTTTTTTTTAAATTTTAAGACAGGATCTCAATAGGTCACTAAATTTCTCAGTCTGGGTTCAAAACTTTGGTCCTTCGTCCTCAGTCCTTCAGAGTGCTGGCATTACATGTGTGTTCCACTCAGCCAAGCTTAATTATTATTGCTTTTCAACCTTGTGGCTAAGATCAGGTGCAGGCTTAATTATTGCTTGCTAAACAAACAACAACTTGACTATAAACTGTCTGCTATACATGTATCTGATTGTAATAGCCTCTCAGAAGAGAGCAGAGAACTGCTATGGGAACAGAAGCATCCATATAGACATCCTGGCCTCCTCTAACTCAGTGCTAAGCTTCAGAAATGTTGAGGAGACCCCCAGGTGCCAGATCAAGAGCGCCAGCCTCACAGAGCTGCTATATCTACAGCTAGAGAATCACTCGAGGAAACATGTTTACAATGGAAAGCGAAAGTGAGCTGCAACACACAGTCATTATGTCAAGATCATAGGCCAAGAAGAGGCAATACCTGTGGCTTTTCCAGTATAGTCTCCAAGTCACTTTTAAATAATGGGAGCAGAAATTGAATTATGAATTGAAAGGATTACTACACAATTATTCAATGGGAATGGTGACCCCAGGGCCCTGAGCTGATTGAAGAAGACATCATCAGGACTGCCACACTGTGACCACCAAGCCAGCCAGCTTCCTTCTCTTAAAGTGACAATGGACCTTTGTCACAGGCCACAGTCTTTGCTTTGGCCATTAAAAAAATACTTTTATAAACATTCCCATTAATGTTCCTTTAGGGGCCAGGGAGATGGCTCAGTGGAATAAGTGCTTCCCAGGCAAGCACAAGGGCCTGAGTTCAATCCCTGGTTCCGCTACAAAAAAAAAAAAAAAAAAAAAGTTCCTTTGTGGGGAAAAAAAAAAAGAATGGAAGGGAATGTTAAATTTCAAAGAGAATTGCAAGCCTCTCTGGCATAGGGTGGTTCAAGAACATTTTCAGTATTCTTCAGGAAGCACTTTCCTTTGAATAGTGCTTTTATTTTGTTTCTAGTCTTTTCCATGCAGGTTATAGGCAGTGCTCAAGCAAAAAGGAAAAATAATTGCTCAAAACTTTATTAAGTCTTATGTGACAGGCACTGTGTCAGATGTTGGGTTTTCATGGTTTTAGATAGTGAAAGTGAAGACTCGTTTAGAAAGACTTCCAAAAACATGTGAGGCCTAAATATTTTAAAAATTAGTGTGCTTTCTTTTATATAAATTATACATAGTGTATGTTGAGAAAATCTAGGAAATTATAAATAAACAAAAATGACTTTACCATTTTGTATTTTGCTTTATATTTTACTATGAGAATTCAATGTTATTTCTTGGATTAATGTGGCATAGTTTGTTATTTAAATTAGCACATGCTACTAAAACCTCAAATATTACTCAAAATAGCATAAATGAATGCACGATATTTCTTTGTGTGGACATATCAAATTTGTATTTTTTTTTTTAGTACAGGGCCTACAGGATCTTACTGTGGAGATCAGACTATTAGTGATCTGCCTGTTTAGAGCCTCCCAAGTGCTGGGATTACAGGCGCGTGCCACCACAACAGGCCGGGGCCAACACAGAAGGCCCAGGGATTGAACCCCTGGTCCCTGAGTCTGCCTAAGCAGGTGCTTTAATCCACTGAGTTATTTGACTGGCCCTCAAATTTGTATAACCATTCTGCTATTTAAGTCAATTCCTTGAAACTATTTTAACCTTTTCTCTATTATAAATTTGAACTCAGATATGAAAAATGATTGAGTGTGGGGTTAGTCATTCAGTCAAAACCCAAGATTCTTATGCATTTTAAAATTACAAACTCCATGTATTGTGTTTTTCAGCATGTTGGGTGACTGCAGATAGTTATAATGTATCGTGTTTTTCAAAATATCTAGAAAAAAGAGTTTTGAATGTCTTTACCATAAAAGAATGGTAAATAAAAAAATGGACATACATATCCTAATCTGAACACTACACTATATATATAATAAAGTACATAAAGTACATGGCAGCTGGGCATGGTGGGACACATCTGTAATCCCAGAAGTTGGTAGGCTAATGCAGGAGGATCACTGCAGATCAATCCCAGCCTAGGCTACACAGTGAGTTCAAGGCCAGTCTGAATTACATAGTGAGACCATATCTTAAATAAATCAAAACAAAGCGAAGCATCATGATATAACTATAAATACATACAATTTTTATGTTTGATTTAAAATGTTTAATTAAAAATGTAAATGATCATGATAAAAGCAGCTAATACTTAATACTGCATTTATTGTGAGTCAATAATGTTTTAGGGCTTTCATAGATACTACTATATGTAATCCTCCCAGGAGCCCATTAAAGTAGGTACTATTATGATCTCCCTTTGTACATGAAGGCACTGAAACACAGAGGGTAAGTGACTCATGGAAGAACACACTGATGATACTCAGTAGATTTAGAACAAAACCAAGCAAGTCTTGCTATAGAGGGTAAGGACATTAGAAAGGGAAATGTACTTTATTATAAATGTATGTTAAAAGCTCACCAGGCAAAGTCTCATTTTGATGACATAAAATGTCTTTTGGTTTTGCATTTCACATGATTTTTAACAGAATCCATGGACTTTGCTTGTTAGAAAATTTGGGGAATTAAATAGTGGTTTTCATCATTTGCTTACAGTATTAATTCCTGAGGCATCCATGGCATGCGCTCATACCTAGCATGTTTCGGTTGTGCTCTGTGGTTTGTTAAAAGGGAAAATTGCTTTGCCAGGCTGATACAGTGGTGTTAAAAACAGGAGAGCGTCTTGTGCATTTAGGGAACTGTAAACGCTTCAGAGGGTTTTGAGGAAGTCTAAAGGAGGCAAGTTGCAACACCAAAGAGGTTGGTGGAGTGGGGTCGGGGCATAGTCACAGTCGTATCATAGGGAAGATTCTATTTCCTGCTGGAAACAATGCAGAGGATTTGAAGAGCATCAGTAGAGGTAGAAAGGAACCAATTCATACTCTAGAAAAGTCACTTTAGGTGTTATGGAAGGTGAGGCTATCTTTAAAACTGAAGACTCACCTCATACAGCAGCAGAGAGTGACTGGTAGATGTTCACAACAGCAAATATAAATGAGAGTTGGTGATTGAACAGATGTAGGAGATGGGACAGGATGGAGAAAAGTTTACAAAGAGATAAACACTAAGAATCATACATTCAATAAATCACTTCTACGGAGGAGAGCAACATTGTGATAAACAGAGACATGGTAGGGGGATTCTTCATGTTATGATCATCAGGTGCCAGAATTTGGTTAATTAGGATCAACTAAGAAGACACGGTCTGTATTTAACATCAACAAGACATCATCTTACTTCTTGAAGAAAGGTTTGCATAGATGACTTGTTTCACGCTGTGGTAATTATTGTAATCTAGGAAGGAACTCATAGACAGTACCAGAAAAAGTGGTTAACTCAGCAGTTTCCATTTCCTCTTCTCTCCTCCACCAATTTAGAAACTGAATCATGAGTAGGAAAGTACTTTCCTAAGAAATTAGTGATGGCGGGGGGGAGAGGAGGAAGGGAAGGAAGGGAAAAGCAAAAGCAAGCAAGCAAGCAAGCAAGCAAGCAAGCAAACAAACAAACAGAAAAGAAGAAAAATGGAAGCTAAGGTTTGCAAATAAGAAGGGGTATAGGGTTGGAAGGGAGGAGTTGAGAATGGGGGATAGAAGAATGAAGATGTGTTATGTACAGGTATAGATTTCCTATAGTGAATGTGATCATCATGTGTATTAAAAGAGTCCCCATAAAATTTATTTAAAAATAAATGAGAGATACAATATATGTGGGCCATGAATGAATGGCTGGGGACAGAGAATGTGGCTAAGGAGAGATCATCATCTGAAAAGTTGTTCCTACTAAAACAAGTGACAGTGACTCCTTTTTGGGAACTGGTAGACATACAGGAAGACATTTGGCTGCCACAGTCACTGTGAACCCCCCTACTGAGTGCCCTTGGTCTTGCCTTTGCTTCACCTGCCTTCCTGCCAGCATTAGCAATCACGGGGTGGGTGGAAACAGAGCCTGTGTGTTCTTCAAACTGTAGCTCTAAAGACATGTTGGGAGGACAGGATTCCCAAGATGAGATCTTTCTTTGCTTATGTTTAGTGTCTTCTATACCCAACCTGGCTGCTGTAATTCCCTTGAGGAGAATTCCTGCCCTACTTGTTTTGGCTCCAGTTTAGCTCCATCATCCATATTCCCCAAAACCTTTTCCATAATGTCCCCCCTGTTACTTCACATCACCTGGACCTCTACTTCCCACCCAATCTATGCATATTCTTTATGATCTAATCAAATTCATCCATTGAATGAAGTCTTTCTCCATCTCCTTATAGATCATTTCCTTCTCATAATGAGTGTTCTTAGCCTTCACTTCATCTTTTTTTTATGTATTTGGTACAGGGTCTACAGGTCTCACTATGTAGATCGCACTCCTAGTGATTCTCCTGTTTTCAGCCTTCCAAGCGCTGTCTCAATCACCATCTCAGTGTGCCCCAGGGGCAGGGCCAGCATGGCTCACTGGGGATAGAACCCCGGCTGCTGGGTTCTGCTGAAGCAGGTGCTTTAGTCTACTGAGCTATCTGGCCTGCCTGACCACCTGAAGTTTTATGGTTGGAGGGTGGTTGAGTCCCTGAACATATTCATACACTGCACTTAGTAGCTGTAGAGGAAGATGTGGAGTCGGGAGAGGAAGAGGAAGGTGATGCAACACTCTTAAATATACCTGGGAAACAATCTCTCCCAAGATGTGGTAGCAAGTTTCCACAGAAAAACTTTGCTGATGAATCAGAAAAAGATGTTTCTCTTTCCAAAGTAGAAGCCAGCCAAGTTCACCAATTAAGTGAAAAATTATTTTCAGGTGATTGAGAAGGAAGTGGTTAAATACCTTGTGTCAGTGAAGGCAAGCTCTTTAACAAAATACTTGTGCAGTTTGTTAACGTCTTTGATTTTATTTCATTACATTAACAGTTGATATCTGGCATTCCTTTGTATAAAGCTAGATTCAAAAATCTTCTGAAGATTCTCAGGATCATTGTCTTACCCATCTTCTACATATAACTGTATGGCTTGCCACTGTCATGTTTCCTAGCTCTTCTCCTTTCCCTCTCTTAACTATTTAGTCCAATGTGAGAAATTTCCCTACCATGTGTGATACGTGTCCAAGTTCCGTTGCCAGAAACGTGTTGTCCACAATGTCTGTTTCATTTTTAAAGGTGGAACTCTGGGTTTTAAGTAGGTGGTGGGGATTAATATGTAGTCAGCACAGTAGTAGTATTGGGGTCAGGAATTGAAAAGGCGAGGAGACAAAAATATACATGTGAAATAAAGTCAGTATTTAAAAAATTTAAAGAACTGAAACAATTTCTCATTATAAAATGTGGCATATGCTTATCAACTATCAAATAGTAACATAAAGGACAGAAAAGAAAAACCTATCTTGAACTGATACTGTAGACCTTTATATCACTGAAGTTACACATTGAAAGGAATATAAAAACTGCTTTGAGGTCAGCATTGCTTAAGTAGGTATTATACAATATTCTTAAAATTATTTGGAAAAAACCAAAAAACTTATTTGGATACTTGAAAAAAACCAAAATTTCATTCTAGCAAAGGTCACTAGACAGAGTTTTAGTGTAATTATCAAATATTCAAGTAAACAACTCTCTACCACATTTTATTTTATTTGCCTTTTTTGGCAGAACCGGGGATTGAACTCAGGCCCTTATTCTGCTGAGCCATCTCCCCGGCCCAAGTAAACAACTCTCAAGTTAGTTTTTGACCAGTGATGCTCATAAACATTTTAAAACAGAATTTGTGACCGACAAGTTCAGTAATAGAATCTCACTAATAAAATGAGAAAACTCTGAAAAAAACAAAAAAGGAAAAAAAAAATTAATCACCTATAAATCTGTTACACAAATACAACCATTGTTGATTTTTACAGCATTTACTCTCAGTGCTTTTTAGTTTTCCTAATCCTACAATTGTGAAGAAACTATAAACATTTGCACAATTCTTGATCTTGGGCAATTCTTTGTCTTGCTTTTTCATGGGGATTATTTTTTTCCAGTTCATTCAACTGAAGAGTCTAATTCGGTGTATGCCACAATTTGCTTTATAATTACCTTTACGGAAAAACAATGGGTTTACTTATTTCAGAATCCTAAGAGATGCAGGTGGCTCCCTGGCTGGATTGTGCCCCTAGTACACTTTCCTAGAAACACTCTCTCTACATGAGTGGGTCTAAATATTTTTAGGTCTTGACATACTAACACCTGCGACTAGAGTATCTGTATGATCTAAAGCTAGTGTTTAACCCAGTGCCCTGGTGACCCCTTGACCGTTTGATGAATGAACAAAGGAGTGAAGTGTGATGCCACACTTCCTTGTTCCTCCATCTGGGGATTCCTTAATTCAGTTCCAGCAGGAAAGCTGTGCCACTGTTTGCAGCTACACCACCCCTGTGGTTAGGGAGGCCTCAAAAAGCAGAGTTTTGGTTTTATGGGAAGAAATGGGACAGAGAGGGACAGAGAAGTCATTTATAGATCAGCTCTTATGAGAAATCATCAGCTAAGAGCAGCCCTGAGCCAACGCATTCCCCTTTCCTGCACGTAAAGAAACCATTTCCCCAAAGAAACCAGAGCAACTCACGAGTTGAGAGCTCAGACCCATAGCTCAGAGATACTATTCTTGGATATCCTGAGCCCCTGTGGTCACCAAAGACTGAGTTGTGCAATGCTCAAATAACAGTATTACCATGCTTCAGATTTTCCCTTGTCACCCCCAGAATGCATTTCCCCTTTGGCTCTGGCTGCCTACAAAAGGCATAGACGATGGCTGAGACACCAGAAGCACAGGGACAGCCCCAAGTACCCAGGCCTTTCTTGGCTCCGCTGACACTCGAGCCCAGACTCCCCTGACTCTCAGCATCATGAAGGTCTCTATGGCTGTGCTTACTGCCCTCCTGTGCACCATGACCCTCTGCCACCAGGTCTTCTCTGCATCAGGTGAGATTTGCTGTTTTCACAGGTGTCCCCACTCCCCGGTATGAGGAGACTTTGTGGTCTTTTCTTGTGGCCGCAGGATCTCCAAGGAAAAAAAGAATTTCATAAAGGACTGGAAAACATCTTGATCCCTTTCTTTCATATTTACAAGGGGCTGCTGCTCTCTTAGTCCCCATCTCTGAGAGCCAGTTGCAGTATCTTATAGAGATAGAAAAATGGGTCCTAAACAACCTAATTTGCAAGAGGCAGACTCTAAGTCTGGTTCTGTCCTCATGGTGTCACCTACTCACTAGCTGGAGTTCTGTCTCAAAAGAGATGGTCCTGCCTTTTTTTTCACTGGGGCATGATTTCTTCAACCAGATAAAATTCCCTGAAGAGAAATGAGGAAAGAGAATAATCTGCCAAATCACATAGGTAGAAGCAGAGTCCACAGTGAAGCATTACAAAGGAGAGGCTGAAATGAAAAGAGAGACATATTTCTAGGCAAAGGTGCCCAATGCCTGCCATTAACTGGTATTTTAGCTTTCACTTGGAGCAAGGCCATTGTCATTATCCTGTAAAGGAGCAGCTCTGGGCTGGCTTTTCCTTGTAAATCATGACTTGGCTCACTCTGCCCTTCCTCTTCAGTGGGTGCTGACACGCCAACAGCCTGCTGCTTCACCTATGTGTCCAAGAAGATTCCACGCCAGTTCATAGCTGACTGTTATGAGACCAGCAGCCAGTGCTCCCAGCCCGGGGTCATGTAAGTGTAAACCCTCCTGCCCACTGCTGAGAACAGTGCTGGTAGGGCACAGATGGGCCAGCAGAGCCAATCGAGAAAGCCCCTGCCCTGTCAATTACATAGGACCTCATGCTCAAGAGGTGTGACCTGACTTGGTGTCAGGGGGTGGTACTTAATGAGGAGGGCTTCTACAGCCTGGAGGGTGAGGACAGGAAGAAGGTGGCAGGATGCTCTGAGGTGCCCCTGAGTCTCTGGGAGTGGCTGTCTAGACTTGCATAAGACAAAGCATCCCTGAGCTACTCAGGACACAGGCTGGGATGAGAGGGCCACTGTGGTCCCAGAAGGCCCTCCTAGGAGTCCTCAGTGGTTGATCCTTTCTTTCCTCTCTTCACAGCTTTAAAACCAAGAGAGGCCGGGAGGTCTGTGCAAATCCAAGTGAGGCCTGGGTCCAAGAATACATGAATGATCTGGAGCTCAATGCCTGAGTGGCCTAAAAGCAGCCAGGAACCCACAGACCTTCAAGATGACCAAGGACCTACATCTTGGAAACAACCTGTGACCGCAATGGCTACCTCTCCTGTGGGAAATTTTAACTTAAGTCAATATTTATTTGTGATATTTAATTTTTTAATTTTATTTTTATTTTCATACTGAGTTTGTGACCAGTTGTATGAACGATCTCAGGATATCTTCTTCACCACTGGTCTTCTTTCCCTTTTTCATCATGTTTGATGACAGTTGAGCATCTATCACCAGCTAGTTTGAGGCAGACATTGTACCACAGACACAAAACGGACATGTGCTTCCTGGATGTTTTTATTCCATGCTGTGTCTAGCCTGACAAAATAATAAATGCACTTTTTAAACAATTAATGTGTCATTGATTCTGCTTTTTTTTTTCCAGCCACTCAGAGCCACTGATTAAGAGATATAAGAGAAAAAATTAGGAAGGTGTGAAATATAAGAATCTGGGGAAAGAAAACAAAGGGGAGACACGGAGGAACCCCACTTTACACTGAAGACACAGTTCTAGAGCAGTGAAATTAACATTGATAAGTCAACTCATGATATGTTTGTGCTGGGAACAGTCACCACTCCAATGGATACTACCTAAGCAGAATATTTAAGTGAATATTCTAAGTATGTGTTTATGTCAACTTTCTTAATAATCATTACTAATATTTTGGAGCCTTTCTCAAAGTTGAGTGCTTTTCATGCCTTGTTTCAAGGTGCAGAGGCCCCCCGTTAAGTGAGATGTTTCATGGTCCCCCATGTTCCTTCAGTGCAGATGTTATGGGAAAACATTTCTTTTAAAAAATGGTAAATAAAGTAGAGACCATTACTGGGAGAAAGAGAAGAAAAATGCACTGTGAACAGCTCCCCAGAAGTTTCAGAAAAGAGGCCCAGTAGGAGCTCCTAGTTCTCGCCGTGAAAGTGTCCTCCATGGAGACATCTAAATGTCACAGGGGAGGAGCAGTATGGGGTTGTGAAGGAGCTGTCTATTTCCTCTCTTTGGGGCTTTGGAGTTCATTGTTTTCTTTAGGGCTTGAGCAATGAACAGTTGTTTGAGGGTCAGTCTTGTGGTTTCTTTGGACTGTAACTCAGTCTAAAGATAGTAGTCTTCTAATCTATTCATTTCTGATTGCTCCATGGATTAGGGAGCCAACAGCAGAGAGGTTTTCCAGCCATGTTCTGTATTTTGTATTTTGTCCTGGGATTGGGAATGTGCTGAGTCCAAGCACTGTCACCCTGTGGAGTTGCAGGATCACATGTGTGTGGTGGTGATAAGCCTCCACTCTAGGCTCAAAGCCACACCCTACTTGCACTTTCAGAAAGAGCTGATGGTCAGCCAAGTTTGTGATGCAACCCTCTAATCTGTACTTTTGAAGCTGAAGCAGGAAGATTGCAAATTCAAGGCCAGCTTGGGAAATTTAGCAAGATCCTCTCTCCTCGTGTTTTAAAACATGAGGAATGTATTGTAAGGATCCATGGGTCTCAGTGTGATCTGTTCTACCCTGGGAAAAAGGGCTGCAGGATTGAGGAAAAGACAGAGAAGAAGACAAGAATTGGGTTAGGTGGTGTCTCATCTACCTGGTTGGAAAAGACACCCCCCACCTCCAGCAACAATATTGACATTTATTTATAGCTTTGCAAATCTAGTTACATATGATACAAGGTTGCCTAATGACTGATAGCCCACAATGTCCAGGCAAGATGCTTTTCTCGAGACTGAAGTAGCCTGACTGCAAAGGTAATGAGGCCTCAACCTGCCTCTCATATAGGATCAATTTGAGCTTCAGCAGCTCCCAACAATGTATCTCAGTGGTGGAGTGCTTGCCTAGCATAGGCCAGGCCCTGAATTCAATCTCTAATCCTAAAGCATGACCCACTGTCTACTTTAAATAGAGAAGATAGCTATTCCCTAGGATGCATGAGGAAGGAAAGTCAGGGCTACAGTTGGGCTATAGTACCACCTAAGTGTCTCACCTCCCTGCCTTAGGTATAGTAAATTTATCTTAGAATAGAAATTTCTGTAGTTACATTCCTGCTTCACTGCAGGTTACCATGTTATCAGTCAACAGATTGGAAAGGACTTTCTCAGAAGAGCTGAATTGTTCTTCCTTTCCTGATTTCAGATGAACTCATTTCATGGCAACCTAAGCCATTTCTTGAAGGACCTTACTGATGGATGCAAGGAGTAGCAGTCAGTGTTCAATATTCCGAATCAAATTCCTTAATGCTACAGTCTTGGTATTTAGCAGAGGCACTTAGCACTAAAATAGAACAGGCCAAAGTTTAACCAGCACTGTAATACTCATGTTTTTCAAAAGACAGGGCCTAGAGAGCAGTGTGATCAACACCCGCCACCATGCTAGAAATGCAAGTCCTAAGATCTCCCACTCTGGGGGAGGTGAAGTGCTACAGTGTGTGTTTACCAAGCCACCAGGTAACTCTGACACACACCAAACTTTAACATTCATTCTTTTTAAAAATTTACTTATGACAGTGTCTACAGAGTGTACAGGGTCTCACTATGTAGATCAAGCTTGTAGCAATCTTCCAGTATTCAGCCTTCTAAGCACTGGGATTACAGGTGCATACCACCAGGCCTCGTCTCAATGGGCCCTGGGAATGGGGCTGGCACAGCACACCATGCCTCTGGGGATCAAATCTGGTCCCTCCATCTGCCTAAGCAGGCGCTTTAATCTGCTGAGCTATCTGGCCGGCCCTAACATTCATTCCTATTTAGTGAACCCCTCATTGCGCACATGAGCTCCCATGCACAATCCAGTTCTCTAAGTTTCCCTGTGCTCCTGCCTGCCCTCTCACTTACAGATGCACTGGGCACGAATGTCTGCTAACAAAAGTACTCACAACTCCCCTTTCTCGAGTGCTTCTTAGTTCAAAGTTATGGGAAACATCCTGCCTGCAAGGGCATTTGATAAAAACACTGCCGACCACAACAACACTCAGGCACAAGTCACTTTATTCAGGACAGAAACAGATTTCTTATGTCTTTAGAGCCACTGGACTGCAACTCTTGTTGATCTATGTGAAAGAAATGAGATGTACACAGCCCACACATTGCAGAGGAGGATTTTTGAAAATACAAAAGTGCCTAAATATCTGAGGCTCACATACCTTCCCTTGAAAAGCTCTATAAAAGACCTTCCATAGGAGTAGTGGTAGGACAGTTATTGAAGGCAATAGCCTACAACCATGTAATGCTGCCAGCTTGTTGCCCCAGAGAAGCCTTTCCTTCCCCTCTCCACATCTCAGTTCTTTGACTCCACTGAGCACAACAGAAGCAGATTCTGCATGGTTACTCAACCTTGTGACCCCAAGCCTGTAGGGTACAAAGGTGACTCTGGCTCCAGGCAACCTGGATCTAGCTTCCATACAGGGTCTCAGGCCCTGTGGTCTCTTTCTGATCTTCCTGCCTTGCTAGAGTATCCAGAAGGCTGGCAGTATCTGAGTGTGGCATGAATTCTTGATTTTAGCAGAGAACAGTGAGTCTGCATTCCGATGGGGAAAAAATGATTAGGTTTTTCAGATTTGGCTGACTTGGGAATTCAATTACCAATCAAAGGCTGTGGTTATGAGTAAAATTTTCAGACTTACTTAAGTTTAAACAAGGCACACATCATTCTCAGTGGATTGGGTAAGTTTCACATAAAGTTTAAAAATTATAGGGAAGGGTGGTTTCCAAAAATAAGTGCAGGTTTTTGATATCATAAAGGAAGTATAACAGAATCAGTGAAGGAAAAATATATTTTCACTATAGTGTATTTGTCTTTTTGTTGTTTTTTTTATGTGAGATTAGCTAACACTTTGTGGGAAGAACTTTCTCTCTCTCTTTCTCATCCCCCCAAGTAGATATGGGTAATTTTTGAATTTCTTCAGGCATTTTATTTTAAGAAGTAACTGTCTTGTGTATTTCCTGTTGCCTCATTAGATATATGTCACCCAAATCAGAAACTAAAAAGGCAAAAGCTCTCTTTTTTGGTGTCACTGTAAATCCCAGAAAATGTGGCTACACATCCAGCCACTCTGGAGTCTATGAAGGACAGAATCACAGACAGTCCTGAGTAGAGACTGTCCTGTGATAGAGCCAATCAAGGGAGGATGTCATTTTCTTTGCCTTTTCCATATTTTGGTTGACTTAAATAACACAAAATTTTCAACTGCTGTCAACATGCCAGAGCCCAAATGTTTACTTAAAGTTTATTCAGTATAAGACATCAACCCAGGTGCTCTATCACCGAGCTACATCTCAAGCCCTTTTTATTTTTAAACAGGGTCTTGCTAATGGCCCAGGCTTGTCTCAGATTTGCTGCCTAAGTAACTAGCATTATAGATGTGATTTTATCTGTATTTGATTTCTTTGTATAAGAATAGATTTCTAAACATGGAACATATAGGCTAAAGGGTAGGTCATGTTAAGTTTCCATATGCATATTAACTCTAGTATTGGACACATCTTTCTGTCCTCTGGTTAGTGTACTTCGGGGGGCCTTGACAAATTTCTCTGAAAGAGCAGATATCACAAAGGCTGGTGATCCCATCAGGATTGCTGTGGCCCAGGCTTTGCTAAAACAATGCTGTTCTCCTGGCTGTGCATGCACTTGATCGTGTTCTTTAAGGCTTGTGGCATCAATGCGATGTGCACTTAGAACAGCAGTGGGATAATACAGAAGTGGAAACTCTACATACACAGTGTAGGTCCCCAAAGTGTGGTCCTGGGATGACACTGCGATTTCACGTGCTCACACTGTGGAAACCGCTTCCCCATACACGGCCTCAGGTCAGGCATATGAGTGCTTGAACTATTGTTGCAATGCCTTCAGCAGTGTGGTTACCCGAGACCACCCTTGCACGTGCAAGTCCACAGGACACACTGTGCTTACAGACTTCCTCTGCCTTCACCCCAGTTTCCATTTCCCCATAGCTAAGGGCTTAACAGTTAAGAAAGGATATGGCATGGACCCTCGAAGGAGGCTGGCAGCAGTGAGTGCCCAGGCCCTGTCTCAGTCTGACCCCACTCTTGGGCCCTTGCTGATCATACCTGGGCTAAAGAGGCCTCCTCTCCCAAGTCTGTCTTTTTGTTTCTCAGTCTCTGGCTGTGGTCAGAGCATTTTACTGAAGTCCCATGAACAGAGGTTCCCAAGTAGAAACAATCTTCCCAAAAGATTTCCAAAATACCCTGGGATGTTTAAGAAGGTTTTCCTTTCCAATACAGTTTTAGATTTCTATTTGTCATACCTC